TCCAGGACTCTGGACCATGACCTAGCCGAAGGCAGACGCTTAACAACTGAGCCACCCAGGGGCCCCAGTCCTAATTCCCTTTGAGAAGATTTTTTTAAAAATTAGCTGTACTAAAGCAGAATAGAAGTGAAATTAACTTGTGTCTCAGTTCATCATATTCCTTTGGGAACTTAAAATACATAAAATATAAAATCAATTTTCAATCATTCTTAGTGATGCCCATTTCAGACCCAAGGGCCCCTCTCATACGCTGACAAGAGGAAACGGGAGTGCAGAAAGAATCAACTTACTCAAGACTACGCAGAGGCCTACAGGCTAGAACCCGGGTCTCTTGACTCCTAGCTCACCGCCCATTCTGAGAATTTTCTGATGGCAGTAAAAAACCAGCTGTTATACATTTTTGTAGTATATCTCTTCTCTCCAGCAGCCACGTTGACTGCCCTTCTGAATAACTGCTTTTCTAAAAGCTGGGACCATTGTGCACCTGATTCCCTGGGCAGGGTAGGGCGTGGCTTCTAGAAAGGGACCTGTCTCTGGTTTCCTATAGAAGAGCAGATCTAGGTTTTAGTCGCTGATCTGCCACCAACAAACTGCACGCCTTTAGAGAAGTCACTCTTCCTCTAGGCCTCAGCTTCCTCTTTTGTAAAATCAGAATGTTGGATTAGATTGTATCTACAGTCTGAATAACCTCCACTGGAGAAGAATTAGAAAAATCCATAATGTGACTTACTTGATAAATTTCAGGACAGGTATTATATCTAAAATAAAACACAGATTATTTTCTTACATGTAGAGAAGATTATGGGGGAAATGCCATCTCTGAATAGAGAGAGGAGTTTTTCTGAAATACTGAGGAAATGTCCAGGAATGCATATGCCGAAATGTACATAAACTAAGAAACTGACCTTTTTAAGACTGGCAAAGAAACGGAGTAACAAATAAAACCCTGTTACAAAATAAGAGCAGTGTAACTTCATCCCCAGACACCTATTAGCAGTGACACAATTAGAAGCCTACGAATAAAAAAAATCTCCCAGGACCAAAACCAACGGCCAAACAGCAACAAAAACCAGCCACGGACTCATAGATCCCAATGGGCAGTTGCCAGTGGGTAGATGGGGAAAATAGGTGAAGGGGACTAAGAGGTACAAACTTACGAAGTTAGTCAGTCATGGGGATACAATTACGGCACAGGGAATACGGTCAATAATACGTAATGACTTTGTATGGGGACTATACTTATTGTGAGTGTTTTATAATATACATAATTGTCTATCACTATGTTGTACACCTGAAACGAATATAGGTCAGCTATCAAAAAACCACACACAAAACCTGAGCCTCTCTTGCTTCTGCCCTTTTTCTCCTCCCCATCAGAGAGGTAGCAGGGAGGTCAGAGAACAGGAGAGGCTCCTGCTCAGGCCTCGCCCCTCCCCACCCCGTCCCCGCCCATGCACGGCCACACCTGCACATGTGGGGCCTTCAACTACCCAATCCAACACTGTCCTATATTTTTATCTGTTTCAAATAAACAGAGGTCATGTAAATTAATCTTTTAAAAAAATCCCCCAGGTTCTGAGGAGATCTTCTAAAAGAAAAATCCATTCTGTTTTGGGCTGGCTTCCTCAGGTTTCAAGGAATTAAAAACATAACAAGTAAATTAGTACATAGATACTGTTGACTTAAATTATTCAACGTTCTTCAGATTCCTTCTCAAATTATTTGAATATTTAAACTCAAACAATTGAGATTAATAAAAGGATAAAGCCCCTTGAGAGCAGGGACCATGTCTTATTCCAATTCCTTATTAAGAATGTGAAAATACTATAAACACCTATTGAATGAAAGATGTTTTTCCAGGGAGTTTATTTTGTTTGTGATTAATAGAGAAAAGCTATCATGACATTCTCTTTTTCATTAAAATGGTAAAACTGCAAACATATTTTTTAAGCCATATGACTTAAATGACACTAGAAGTGAGAGGAATGTGTAAAAATAAAGGCAAAAGGAATCATACATAAGCACTGTGCTCCAGTTGATAAAGTTTTTGGTACATGGGTCCAGGTTAACAGTTCTAAAGTTGCTGTACTTGTGTACTGGAACTGAACAATGAAGTAAGTGGATGGTGGATTGTTGGGGTGGGAAGTTACAGACAAGA